CAACCCGATACGTCTCCACGCGAACCGATCAATACGTATCTAATCCTTTCAGCGCAATATCCTAATCTACTTATGCCCTAATTTCCTACTTTTCTTCTATCCCCCTATCTGATCTCGTAATGTACCACTCCCCAGCGATTCACTTCGTATGTATCTAATCTTTTCAGCGAAATACTGTCAATAGATATCTTTTTCGTTATCGCGTACTATTCGTAAGTCTTCAAGCAGTCGAACTAGTGGCCTTAACGGCTGTAAACCATGGATGCGTTTAAGATTGAAGAAAAACGTGAAGCTAAGAGGTGGAAAAAACAGTCCCAATTCCAAAAGAAAGCCATTGAGTTCCAGTGATTTCCAGGAACGCTGAACTTGCAATTACATAGTTGTTCCAACCATAACACAATACAAAGCCTTTGTGTGCTAGTGTATAATTAGTTAGCGGGGGGGCCACGCGCGGCGCGGGCGGTCTGCTACTGGGCGGGGGGGGATCTTCGAACAAGGACCTTGAAACGTCGAAATTCAGCTGTCTCACGCAATGTGCATGTGACTGCCTGACCCCCACCCTGATTGGTACACTTCCCTGGCCCACGGAGTTTCAACATGCCAAGAGCGAGCAGAATGCCGACGCCGGCCGCGTGGGCTCCCCCCTAACTAAGGTGCACGTGTGTAGTTATAATGCCAGCACCATAACTCACACCAACACGGAGCGTGAAAAGCGTCGAAACGATGCGGTGTGAACGGCATTAAAGCGAGCACAAGCGCATATCCACGTGGAAGGATCCGACACGCGGCTCGATCGCGGTCATATGAGATGTCAGTCCGTGGTTGAAAACGACGCGTGCGAGCGCACCGCGGACTTGCCAACACAAATGTTGGTGATTCGAAACGATACGAATGTGTGCTCGTGTTTCGTAGCAGTGCATACGCCCGGTGATGTACGCGGCCGTATGGGTCGGGTTGCATTGATAATTTTTGATTGTTAGTGTTTCGCTCTATGTGATAAATGCGTTCTTCACAGTTTGTTCTCGTGTTGATTTTTTGTTGCCGTTTTTCAGGATAAGCGGGTTAGTTACACAGATGAAAAAGTAGGCGCTCTATCTTTTGTGTTCTTGAATGTGTACATGTTTGTCAGAAGTTCGCGCATGTGCTAACACAACTGTGACATTGGCTGAAATTCCTGTCTTGCAACACTGTCATTACATTCAAAATAAATGAATGTGTATCTGAACCGGTTGAGGTTGTTCATTTTGGTTTCTTTCTGTTCCGAATTATTGTGTTGCACAATTTATTGATAACATCAACTTATTTGGTATTCGTTGGAAACAAAGAGATTTTTTCAAAGTTTGGTAGGACAATTTGGTGTTGGTGTAAGGATGAGTCGTTAGGCGAATATGCGTGCATGTGCTTCTGCTAGTGTGTTCTCTGCAAAAAACGCTACAATCACGTTATCTCAATAACCTCAGGGAAGGGCCATCGTTCGCGAAGATGTAGAAGCCCGAGCGTCAACTCCAACATCGCACTAATGACTACAAATTGTTAAGTTGTAAGGTTGCGCTTGTAAAACAAAGTCATACTTCGATTGTGTATAATGTCTAAACTCAAGGATTAAAATCTGTCATTATCTTAAAAATTACTGCGGAGGGTTTTGGGGGCAGCATAACATGCCCGGATTTACGGCTGTATTAACTCTGTGACCTTGGCTATGCAGGCGCGCTATGCATACAAATAAGTCCAGGCAGGTCAGGTCGATCTTTTCCCTTACAAATGGCCGCAATGACCGGGTCAATGTTCTCTTATAGACGACTTCATAGAAATATAACTTGAAGTCTTGTCTTGGTTAGATCCCATGAAAAACATAAAGGTTAAAGCAATATGGCCAAGCATTTGACCGATCTATTTTTGGGGTGCATCACTCATTCTGTTCCCTTTTAGTGTCCTATGAGGTTTGAATGTGATATAGCTAGTACAATAGCTTGCAAGGGGCAGCTGATGTGAAATTTTGTGTTTTCATCCTTCAAAATGAATCGGGCATAAGCGTTGTTGTGGACGGGGCACATGTGCAATAGTTCGCCCCGTCGACAGCGATCCCTTTTTCGCAGGACCTTCGGGTAGTTGCTTGTACTATAAGGAATTGAATGAGGTGAAAAATTTCGTGGTCTTGAACGTTTTGGGCTGCACTCATTTTTTGCAACCATCTTGCAATTCGGAGTGCCAGTGACTGTCTTTTCTTTCAAAAAAGCCTCGTACTAATCAGTCGCAAGGGGCGGAGGGTTTTTTGGTAAGCTCAAAACTCGAACCACAATCTGTTGACCCCCTGACCGATTCGGGTGACGGGCAACTTGATCCTTTCTGCATATTCTCAGCCTCGAAGGGCAACGCACAGACGATTAGAGAACAGCCTGGCTAAACTCCGAAACCCGAAGAAGGAGGTGAGAGCCTACGATTAACTAAAGAGGGGGAGGGACTCCGGGGTGAGTGACAATTACAGTGCGGCAGAAGTCGAAGATGGAAGAAGTTGAATATCTGAGATCACAGTATTCATTAGCCGCTGATTAGGCGAAACGCAGACGAAGTCATCAAAATGAGGCGGTCCAAAGCACAGTGTTCAAGTAGCCCGTGGATCCTGTACTTGGCAGGCAACACCTCCGCCTGACTGTACGGATGCTAGCTATCAATGCGCAGCTCTTTCGATTATTTTTTCATAGTTGTGAGTGTTAATTAAACCTAAACAAGGCTTCACTACCAATCTGACACCGTCGAAAAATCATTTGGTGCAAGCACTAGCATAAATTCGCATTTGTTGAGAGCCCACATCAAGGTATTAGTATTCTATCCAAGCAAGTTGTGTTCGAGCGCCGGAAATATTCATACGGCGTAGCTGAGAGTTAAGAACCCAAAAAGAGTGTGAAGGGTACATTTCCATCACTTCTCGTATGTCTTACTTACCATTAGAGTGGCGAATGTGGTGAAGAGCTGGTTTCTGTTCAAACAAGAATCAAAAGGTGGCCATAAATATGCATGTTGCATGTTGCATTGTGACTTTCCGAATAGTACTGTTGTAGAGTGTCTATATCAGATAAGGTGGTAGTTCCCAATAAAGTGACGCCGAGATCGGGGACTCACTTCTCAAAACATGTTGCTGTTTTGCTGTAAAGCTGCAACTTGCAGTTTATAAAGCCGATTTCTGGCTTAATCTTGTGCGTAAGCGAGAGGGTAATAGAGGAATTCTATTGAGAGGGGAGTTAACTATGGGGGAGATTTCTCAAACTATTAATGAGTTGTCAAAATGTGGCTTCTTTTTTGTAACCTGCTGGTGAATGTAGTAATCAAAATTCATCGTGGGTCACTTATATGTAGTCAGCAGTAGCACTGCAACCGCTTTTCGAAAGTTCGGTTAGAAAATAGCTGTGAATCTTGGAGCATGTCTATGAAGCCTAGTAATGATGGTCCGTGCTAGTGGAGAAATGACCGCTGGTTTAAGAACCATTGATAGTGGTGCCGTTCAAGATTGAGGTGGAATAGCACCTTGATTAGATTGTGTATTTTTGTGCCATGGAAGTGCAAATGAATTCAAAACTTACGTTTCCGTTTTTTTTTGTTTTTCAACGGCGAGTTACGAAGGACCCATTCCAATAAATCGCTGCTTATTTGTGGTGAAATTTTGTCCTGAATACTTTATTTCCCTGGCTTGACCGAAGTCGGCGCACTTGAGTTTCGATGGTGCGACAGCGCCTTCAGTGATAATCGATTTCTCGCATGGTGGAGCGCAACGCACGCATAGTGACGCCTGCATTGTATCCTAGATTAGCTTCTCTTTTGTTATCCTGTATTGACTTTAATTTTGTTGATTTGTTTGTTTTTTTTTCAGTGCATCACATGCACTTAAAACGTGTAAATAGAGAATTTAATTCACCACGGTGCTCCCTCATACACAGCATCAATTTTCATGAAAATGAACAAAAATAAAGGACAAATACCTGGATAGCATTGCAAACTTGTGGAGATGGTTCTTTCGCAGGTTCTGCACTTATTTGCGTCGTTGTATCGATCTATTTCTTGAGTGGGCTTCACAGCCCCATGCAGGCACTATTCGCTTGATGTGTGTGGCCGCATCTTCATTTTATAAAACTCCCTCATTTATATTATTAAGTGCTTTCGGCTTATCAACACAGATTAAGAGATAATGTCTCTGGCGTCACATGAATAAGCTATTTTCCACTCAGCTTCAAACGTTTCATGTTTGCATCGAACGTACTAGTTTTAACGAACACGCTGTTCAAAAGCAAGGATGTATTTGCTTCTGCTCTATCGTTCAATAGAAGTTTTCGAAAGGCATTAATTGGATGATTTCTGCTAAATATAGTTTTATGTGTTTTCATTCAACGTTTAAGCGGAACTATTGGGTGCTAAATTGAAACGCGGCTCTCGCTCGTCTCTCTCGGTTCACCTTTTATTTCGAGGGGAGAACTGTTGCTGTTGCCGATTTTTGATTTGGAAAGATTTCTGCTGCTATAGCTGTCTAGTTTCTCAACCTATGATCCCTTCATTCTCTGCGTTTCGAAATTTTCCATTAATTAGTGCCATTTTCTGCATTCTTTTCTAAACATATAGAGCTGTACCAAAACTCTTCAATGAGTAATGTTACGTCTATCGCGGTGCCGTGGTTCTGACTTCGCTTCAACTTTGGTAAACTATAAAAATAAAGTTCCAGTGCAGCTAGCGCTGGCGATGTACTGACACCATCAAGTGCGTGCTAGACGTCTTAAGCATATTTCTGTGATATTTTGTCGAATTGGGAGTGAAGCACATCTTCCCATCGACGTCGATCTCATCTGCCTATCTAGTAAATAGGTTGGTTCATCATACATTTTATTCATTCAGTTTCGGCTTTTAGTAAGTGTTTGATCCAAGAATTTTGATTTAGGTCAGTATAACCGTACCTCGTATCGTGCTCACATTTTTGCGCCTTTGTTTGTCTCCCTGCCCTCTTTCACATCGTCATAATGGCCGCTGGGATTGATCAGCAACAGCAACAGGTTATGAGTATGTTAGGTAAGCGATTTTTGTTTCAATTTTTTTTCCGCCGCTTCCATTGGCACTGTTTGGTGACTAATCACGATCGGCAGTGATTCTCTTCTCTCCGATTCATATACTGACGACCCGTTGTTATACGTCGCTTTAATAATCAATTGTGTGGCGCTGTGGTCACCTATGTATTTCAGATAGTTTCTCATTCAACGAACCCGTGAACATGCTGGGTGGTGGCGGAGCTGGTGGCAATGCGCCGCAGCCACAACAATATATGCCCGGTATATTGGGTGGTCACATTCCTGGAATGCCAGGTCCCTTCATGGGTGGTCCTCCTTTTCCTCATCACACACAGCAACAACCTCCCCTACAGGTTTGTTAATGTTTCACATATATTGATGTTTTCAGTTGCCTACTAATTTTAATTATGGCACATTATAAAGATATGCACTGCAGTAAACGGTCAAGATCCCCTTTTCGTGGTGCGCCATGCATTCCACCACTGTTCAGAAATGCGATCTAGCCCTTATATTGAGACGGAAGAAGCTCGATGTAAAAGTCGCAATTTTTCTTTCCAGCCTCAGCACCTATTTTATTTCCAGGCGCACTAAAAGTTCAGTTTAACTAGAACGCGTTAGTTGCAGCCACATCTTGTAGCAGTTTTTAGCGCAGGCCCTTTTAGTGGTTGGCATTTTGAGAGAATGTCAGCGACTAGACGATTCTTTTTTCGTCTGCGCATTTCTACGGTTGCATCCTGGTTCAGCACTTTTGACCTTCACATTCTCATCGTCCGTTACCTTGTTAAAGCTCGTCCAGTTTTATGATTCATGGTTGAATTGTAGCTTCTCTATAACAAGAGTTCATGTAGGATTACTCGTTTGAATGAACGTTCTAGAGTTTCTAAATCGGATACGTGCATTTATTATCTGCTCATTACACATTTTTTGCAGGACATGTTCTCTGCTGCCCAGACAACAGCGTCGATGCTGTCTGCTTCTGGTGTGCTGTCCTATTCTGATGCACCTTCGCGTCAAGGGGGAAGTTTGGCACCTGGTGCACCGATAGGTGTACCTCCAGGTCAGACGGACACATCTCAGGGTGGCGCTGGACAACAACAAGCTGCTTTGCCACCTGGTGGAAGCGGGCTACCAGCGTAGGGATTTTTCTTACTTTTTTCTTGACAGAATGTAGCTTGCTAAAGCGGGGAGAGGGGCGTCAAGCATCACGTTGCGCAAAGTTCTAGATCATGACGATCTCTTAAGAATATCCATACCTTCCGTTCCATTTTGGGTCATGGCAAGACAACCACTCTCGCTGAATCGGTTTTCCCATTCACAAAGCGTTAGATTTAAACATGTTATGATTTTGATATTATGATTTCAATGATGTAGCGTTAGATAATAATATAGAGGGGAAAGCCCATACTTCTTCTTCAAACGAGAATAAGTTAATAAGGGGTGTTTCGATTTACTTTCGAGTCTTTCACTTCCTTTTGGATAGCTTTCCTTAAAGCCGTTAGCATGAAAAAGGATGAGCACTTCTGAAATCTATGCGGTTCTCGGCTTCCTAATAGTTGTTAAAGCGACCCTGAAGGATAAGAAGTTGGAAATTTTTGAGACTCGGAAAGTAAACCAGCCTGTCTCATTGCATTATGCTTGATTAGAGATGGCTTTGGAGCAGATTGTCGTCATAGTAAATCAAAAATTGTGCACCTACGTTACCATCTTTTATGCGCCACCCATCAGACTTCTTTTCAGAATCGTGAGGGTATTTGCATGTTGCTACGTCTACAGATAGTGCGAACCAATTTGTTCAAATTCGTACCAAAATAAAATATAACATGTCATTTAGGTGTAACCTCTTTTTACTGTACTGCTAAATGTTAAATATCCATATCGTACGTGTTAGTGAGTAGAGAAGCTTGACTTGACATTTTATCGCTTTCCTCATAAATTTGATCTTTCACAGTGTGATCTCCTTCCCTCATAGGCTTCTATCCCCGAAAAGGCTCTTATAGTTCAGCCCCGACACCTATGTGCCATTGCAATCCCGGTTGATCATTGCTCAACGGATGCTTGCCGCGCGGAAAAGGCCCGAGCAGTGGTCTGTACTACTTGACCACATATTTGTTACAGGCTTTCCGGTGGTGTGCAGTTCCAGTGCCCACGCCGACCTAACCACGGTCTTGAAGGACGTTCCATCTTGCTGCGGGCGAATCATTTCGCAGTGCGTATGCCAGGAGGTACCATTCAGCACTACCATGTAGATGTGTCACCAGACAAATGTCCACGAAGAGTGAATCGGTTAGTAGCTTTTGTAAATCGTGTTTATCATTTTTGGCTTCCTTCCTGCCTTCGAGATACATCGTCTCCTTTTCAGAGAAATCATTTGCTGTATGATTCGCTCCTTTGGCAAGTACTTTAGCTCAAGTAGACCGGTCTATGATGGGAAGAGGAATATGTACACTAGGGAGCCATTGCCAATTGGCCGAGAGAAGATGGAGTTTGAGGTGCGGATGATGTGACTCCACTTTCATAAACAATTTTTATATACGCAGAAGCTCCCGCATTGAAATGCTTCCACTCATGCAGCCTTTATCGCGGAAGCATTGATTCCCATAGTGTTCTACATAAAAACTTTTACTCTTTTGAACTCAGTTGACGGGTTTTTTTCATTATCGGAAGTTCACTTCTAGGTGACTCTTCCTGGTGACTCGGCAGTGGAGCGTCAGTTTACTGTTACTGTGAAGTGGGCAGGCCAAGTTTCGTTGTCAACACTAGAAGATGCTATGGAAGGGCGCGTTCGTCAAGTACCATTCGAAGCGGTTCAGGCTATGGATGTCATTTTGAGACATCTTCCAAGTCTTAAGTAGGTTCCTCCCTTTTTTTGTCACCTGTACTGTCTCAATCTTCGTTAATTATCCTATTTTGAACATAATGCAGCCAACACTTCATGTAGGTACACACCTGTGGGTAGATCGTTCTTTTCACCACCGGCACACCCTCATCAACCTCCTCAACAACATGGTCAGTATCATATGGAAAGTAAATTGGGTGGTGGGCGTGAAGTTTGGTTTGGATTTCATCAATCTGTTCGACCGTCACAGTGGAAAATGATGCTCAACATCGACGGTGAGTATCTGAGAATGGCTGTCTTAATCTCGATGTCATCCTAATGTCTTACATCTGTTTCTTCAGTGTCCGCCACAGCTTTCTATCGATCCATGCCCGTCATTGAGTTTGTCGCAGAAGTTCTGGAGCTTCCCGTACAGGTCCTGTATTATTTTCTTCGCTTACACCTTTTGCTCACTTTCAGTATTGGCTTCCTTTATATTATGAATTGTTTTAACAATTTGGTCTAGGCTCTCACTGAACGACGTGCTTTGTCCGATGCGCAGCGTGTGAAGTTCACAAAAGAGATTCGCGGTTTGAAAATAGAAATTACTCATTGTGGACAAATGCGACGCAAGTATCGAGTTTGCAATGTGACAAGAAGACCTGCACAGACGCAAACGTAAGTTGCTTGTTTTTTAAGCCTTAATCGAGAAAAAAAAAACAGAACAGTTGTACCTGATTCCTTGTACACCTTGAGGCATGTTTCGTCTACGAAATTACGGAGAAAGTGGCAGTGTTAAGTAATCAGTTATGTCAAAGCAATAATTAATTATGTTAATTAATAATTGTGTTGTAGTGTGAATGTGGGTTACTAATCGTAAGCAGAAAGCGCCTCTTTTCGTTTTCGAGGCATGCATCTTTTCCTCGGCTTGAATCAAAGGTCCACCCCTGGTCATGAGTGGGCGTGAAGTTCCAGCAAAGTACAAGTTTAGCGCTGCGAAAATCGAAAAAGTCGCGTTCAGTCCCAGCGACCCAAATACTTGCAATGATGGGTTCTAATCAAGTACAACTTTTTTCCTCGGGATTCTTTTGTTAATGTCTGCATTTGAAAACTTACCGCCATGTCCTTTTTTTCTATTCGTGTTTTTTTCTTTTCCTATTTTAGGGCGGTATCGAAATCCCATCAAAAGATTTACGATACAGCGTTGAAATTTTCGTATAATCTTCGTGCTTTTATTCTATAGGATTTCTTTTTGTCGTTTCAACATAGTTAAGGCGTCGTTGCTAGCTCATCAAGATTTTGCCATGTGCGAAGATAGCTTTAGCGCAGACTGACTCGGATCGTTCCATTTGCTAACCATTAATAACTCGTCAAAATCACTGCTATTTTACGAGTAAATTGTGTTTCGAGAAAACGTCTCAGTCATTTTATTTCATTTACAGCTTTCCTCTACAACTAGAGACTGGCCAAACGATTGAATGCACAGTAGCAAAGTACTTTTACGACAAATATCGCATCCAGCTGAAATATCCGCATTTGCCATGTTTACAGGTAGCAATAGTTAAATTGCATCTTGATATCTACCTACTAGTGCCGTTTGCCTTGCAGGTTGGACAAGAGCAAAAGCACACCTATTTGCCGCCAGAGGTATGTCATGTAGTGCCAGGACAGCGTTGCATCAAGAAGTTGACAGACACGCAGACATCAACAATGATCAAGGTATTGAATCCACTACTATTTTGTTTATTTAAATCCTAAATTTTCTTATTCAAGGCAACGGCTCGTTCTGCTCCCGAAAGAGAGCGTGAAATCGCAAGTCTAGTTAGAAAAGCTGAATTCTCCGCTGATCCTTTTGCTCATGAGTTTGGTATTGCGATCAACTCAGCCTATGACTGAAGTGAAAGGGCGTGTTCTATCGGCGCCAAAGTTGCAGTATGGTGGACGTAACAAAGCGACAGCTCTGCCAAATCAGGGGGTATGGGACATGCGTGGCAAGCAATTCCACACAGGAATTGATGTGAAGGTACGTGCAAATCAAGCATCAGTGAGTGGGAAGCAATTGAGTGGATGGTGAATTCTTGCTTGTTCTAGGTCTGGGCAATTGCATGTTTTGCACAACAGCAACACGTCAAGGAGAACGATCTGCGCAATTTCACAGCACAGTTGCAACGTATTTCAAATGACGCTGGTATGCCAATCGTTGGTCAGCCATGTTTTTGCAAGTAAGTACTGGCGATTGGAAAAGTACAAACCAGTTCATGGGATTTGTTTCTTATGTTTAACGAGTTTTTACCACAATTTTCTTCGGAAGTTATTGAGAATTGTCAGATTTTTATAAATTCCATTTGACCAAATTCATTTATTAATCAAAAGTTGAATGTAGAGATATGTTCAAAAAAGATTTGAGGGATAGGAACTATTTCAATTCCATGATTTGCCTAGGTACGCCATGGGAGTCGATCAGGTTGAACCAATGTTCAAATATCTCAAACAGACCTTTTCTGGCATACAACTGGTCGTTGTTATTCTACCTGGAAAAACACCCGTATATGGTAATCTTTCGAGTTTCTTATTCGATTTTTTTCTCCCGTTTTTTTCCACAGGTTTCAGTTATCGTATTTTTAGCCGAGGTCAAACGTGTAGGCGATACTGTGCTTGGAATTGCTACACAGTGTGTACAAGCTAAAAATGTCATCAAAACTACACCGCAAACACTGTCGAACCTGTGTTTGAAGATGAACGTAAAGTTGGGAGGTGTGAACAGTATTCTGCTTCCTGCTGTTCGTCCACGAATTTTCAACGAGCCCGGTAGGCCTCTTATCTTGGAGTTGCTGCGAAATTAACTGCTGCCCTTTGTTAACTCTATCTTGATTTCCTTTCAGTGATATTCTTCGGTTGTGACATTACACATCCTCCTGCTGGAGATTCACGTAAACCATCTATAGCGGCTGTTGTGGCTAGTATGGATGCGCATCCGAGCAGGTGAATAATTTGGTTTATTTTCAATCTAATGTATCCATTCTTGTCTTTATCTTTTCTGTACCGCCGCCTAGAACAATTCTTCAAAATTCAGTCACAGAACGGTGAGACTAGCAATCTGTTTGCAGGTACGCAGCCACGGTTAGAGTGCAGCAGCACCGTCAAGAAATCATCTCCGACTTAACGTACATGGTTCGAGAGCTGCTTGTACAGTTCTATCGTAATACACGCTTTAAACCGACGCGCATTGTTGTCTACAGAGATGGCGTGTCGGAAGGCCAATTCTTCAACGTATGTTATAAGTCTCATTTTGTGAATGCATATCATATTCTCTTATCTCAACCGTTGTATTTTAGGTTTTACAATACGAGTTGCGTGCCATGCGGGAAGCCTGTATGATGCTGGAGAGCGGTTATCAGCCGGGAATAACGTTCATCGCAGTTCAAAAACGACACCACACGCGTCTATTCGCTGTTGATAAAAAGGTATTTACATAGTTAAGAGAGCCTTGGCGACTTTTGCAGTGGATGAGTTGCTTGATTTTTAGGATCAAGTTGGCAAAGCTTTCAATATTCCTCCGGGTACAACTGTTGACGTCGGCATTACTCATCCTACAGAGTTTGATTTTTACCTCTGCTCACATGCGGGTATCCAGGGAACGTCTCGCCCATCGCATTATCATGTGCTATGGGATGATAATGAACTTACTGCCGACGAACTTCAGCAACTCACGTATCAGGTTCGTTCAAATATTTTCTTCACACGTCTTTTGTTGCTGACGAGTTGTTTTAGATGTGTCACACATATGTGCGATGTACACGTTCCGTCTCCATACCAGCACCGGCATATTATGCACATCTAGTAGCTTTCCGAGCACGGTATCACCTTGTGGACAGGGAACACGACTCAGGAGAAGGCAGTCAGCCATCGGGCACCTCAGAAGACACTACACTTTCTAACATGGCTAGAGCCGTACAGGTATTTGCAGGCGGAACGAAGCTTTTTTTCTTTTTGAGTGTTCATATTTGGAGTTTTTTTCTTTACTAGGCAGTTTTCATAGGCTGCGATCTTGTGGAATTTGCGATACGGGAGCTAGGATGAGATATGAGGCTATTACTATACCCGTGGGGGTGCAAGTGGAGAAATTACAAATTTGTATGCTCATGTCCATCCATAGAGCGCAATCCACATTCACACAGTTATACTTATCAGTGACGAGGCAGGACCCCATCAAACCTTTACTTAATCACCAAAATGGATCTCAAAGAGACGACCGAGTTCAAATATGTAAGGCAGGAGGGATGGCCATTTAGGGTAGAAAATCGAAAAGGCATGGTGGACGGACAGAAACATGAAAACTGCGCTGCGTGGCCGCTCCTTCTCTAGCGCTTTACCCGCGGAATCAGTAATATCTTAGGATGGTTGTCCATGTTGCAAGCTATGGATAGTGCCTAATATAATCGCAGGAATTTTAAAAAAGAATTCATTTCAGGTGCATCCTGATGCAAACAACGTGATGTATTTTGCATAAATACGTCCGATCGGTGTTCGGCTTGACACTGCTGCGCATGTCCGCCGCGTGCCTCTGCGGTCGACCGCCGTCCTTCGCTCCGCTCTGCGCGCCCTCACGGCGGCCCAGGCCCTTACCGTTACGGTCGCCGCGTCTCGTGCTGCGGTGCCTAGCCTTAGTACCGATGCACATCATTTATGCATATTATTCACGTTCTGGGCATCATTTATTCTTCAGCTCAGCAGTATCAGTATCGATCTTTTTGATATAGTCAAAGCGATCATCATCATCATCTCTCTTGCGTATGTTGTGATTACTTTGTGTGAACGTCGTCATCGTTTTATCTCTGTATACCTCTTCACTCCTAAATTGCCAAATCACTGACAAGTGGTGAGTTCATCTTATCCAGAAAAAAATCCTTTGTGTAGTTTAGGAAATTGCATCCACCGCTCCCAAGAATGCGCTTTCATTTGTTGTAATGTAGTAGTGTCAACGAAACGTGTGTGTAGTTGCGGTGGTGCTTTATCTGCGCACCGCCCGTCTTTCGGCGCTATCCAGGCCCAGATATGTGTTCGTTATGCGTACCTACTGCCTTTTTCGATTACTCCCTTACTACCATATACCATAGTTGCCGTTATCTCTTTGCATTCTCTTTCACTCCATATGTGTTCAAGTTCGTATTATGGATCGTATCACTGCGCTTTATTTTCTCTAGCCTATAATTCAGAGATTCGTCCATCAGGACATGTTGGCCTTGTTTTGACCGTTGTGTATCGCTTTGTAGTATTGCTGATTTTATCGCACTAGGAACTATTGAACCTGCTGTTCAAAGTGCAATGAAATAAGCGGTGCTCTTCTTTATCGCAAAAATTGTGCACATTTCTGAATCTGGTTCTAGCGCAGCGTATTGTAGTCGATTACCCCGCGTTCATAAGCGTTTACGTCACGCTCTTCACCATTGTTCTCGAAATTCGATACTGCATTGCAAAAGTATTGGTAATATTTCATTTTCATATAACTTTGTCGTCGTATTGACTTTTTTTTTAAATTTTTGACGTTGGTTTAGTCGGTTCTGCGTATGTGATTTTTTGAAGTGTTTATTGTGTTAGGAAATTATGAGACACTGTTGTCGATCTTACGTGTCGAGTTTTCAACTCTTCTTGTCACTTTGTCGTGCCCTGGTCGTTGTTGAACTCGATTGTCGTCTTTTCAAAAGGAAGTGTGCTACGAATTCAACCGAAAACAACCACCTACAAACACATGTCTTCCTCCTCTCTCTCTCTTTCGTGCTTGTCATTAGGGTTACGTGCGTGAACTGATGCAGTTAACATTTTATCAACGATCCGTATTCTCGAGAAAAAGTGCTACAATATATGTCTGTTTATGTTTGAATTTTTTGGTGTTTCATCGTCATCGGTGTCCTGTCATCTGTTGATCGATTAATTCATTCAATTATGTTTCTGCTATCACTATTATCACATCACGTCAATCAGTATCGTATTGGTTTTGCTATGGCAGGCTTATGTACGCCCATTTCTCCTAAGGTCACCATTGCCTCGTTGTTTTGTTCATGGCAGGCAACAAGGCACTAATCAACTGTAAGTTGCCAAGTTATGTTAGACGTGCTGATACTGTTTTAGCAATAAACGTTCACTCATCCAGGCGTTGTTTGGTGCACAGATCTTATAGCATTTTGATGTGCGGGAGGGATTTCTTCTTTTGAGAAAGCTATTGTTTACTTTCAGTGATGTTCTCTTTAGAAGGTCATATTGAAGAAGTTCTTAATCTAGTGGGTGGATTTACTAAATGCACCTTTTCACCGGGCGTTTTTTGAATTGCGTGGTGGGGATGACAAGTCAACCTCGATTTAATTAGTAGGCTTAATTACGTTACAGCTCCAATCCTGGGTAGACAGTACGGTGAGAAAGAGATTTCAGCATCAGGGTATATATGTGTGGAAAGCACAACGGTGATTTATATAATATTTTACGTTTTTGGAGGGGCATGTCACAAGTCTGCTTCAACTAGAGCCACGGTTTAAGGAATCCCCGACATTGTGAGCAGGCTCTCTTTGCTTAGGGGTAGGGTAAGCCATGATAGTGCATCGCTGGTGCATTTTTGGAAGGGCTTGGTTGAGTTGCGGTTCAGAGCTTTGCTAGAATTTTTTCCGAACTTAACATTTTTCACATGAACCTTTCGATTTTATGGGTATTTGAGAACTTTTACCATTTTAGTTGAACTTGACGAATATTCTGTAGAGATAATGAAGGGATGAGTGTTGCCTTGGGAAATTTTCCGGTTCACTGGAACCACGCAGGAAAGATTCTCCCCTAGATTTTAGATCCCGTGCCACTACAAACTTTGCCATAGAGACTGTACCCAGATTGGCGTATCGCGTCAATGGCGGAGTTTCGGCCCCTAGGTGGTTGACCCTAGGGGAGGGGGCATCCATAAGTTGCGCACACGCTAAAAGGAAGCATTGTGTGTAGTGGAGCATGTTTTATATGACTCACTGATATGTTTAAATATTGCGCAGTTAGCTAGGTGTGCCAATCGATTTGCAGTATAAGGTATTCGCCAAAAATTGCTATTTTAACGACTTCAGATTCCTACCTTGACAAAGCAGTTCTTGCAGAAGCCTCTTGGCAAGTGATCTGGGGTTGGGCCGATATCGGAATCAGTAGCATCCCACCGCTTTCATGTATTCCAAAAACATAGCCAGTTTGACCTAATGCAACCCACCCACTTCCAAAGAACTTACAAACATGACCATGCCTCTCTTCCCGTGAGACTAGGGCAGTCTACGGTTTATCCTGTCTTCTCAAAATACGCCTGATTGTGGAAAAGCTATAATGTTGTGCTGTCGCTGCCCTATACAGTTAGCGGTTTCACACCGTCACGCCACCATCATTTTCAGATAGCACTTTCAACCGCGAGGAGGAGGAGTTAAGGATAAGGATAAGCATTTGCACTTGCCGTTGATCAATCCCGTTTTGGGATGCGGCACGCATTCTACTTCCATTTGTACATTCGCAGTGGCATTTGAATGCGATGTGGCCTATACAATGACTTGCGGGGGCCAGCCGATGTTCAAGTCAGTGTTTTTATCCTCCCAGACAAGTCTGGTACCAATTAACCGACCCCGGAGGGATGGAAGGCTTGGTTGGCCCGGGCGACTCACGACCCCAAGGATTGATCCCCGGATCGGCGGTTCAGCGTGACGATGGGGGAGTAGGGAGGCGCGCACTTGTTGACCGCACCACTTCCGCCCACAAGGAGGAGGAGTTACGAAGCAGAAAAGATCAAACATTTGCTATATGTTCGACTTTCTTCACAGACTCCGACGAAGGCGATTTTGCCAAGACGTCAGTCAGTAAAATTCCATATCAATCTCGAATACTGAAGAAACAACAATTTTGAGTATTACCATAACTATGCCGAGGTTAATGGAAAGTCGATCATGGTCTATTCCTTCGCCACTGATCAATCGCTTTTTGAGATTCGGCACGCATTCTATTAGGTTGAGCAATAATTATCCGCCGTATTATTTCAGGCTCATGGTTCTTTGATTTTTGCTGATTATTTTCAAAGATTATGATGTAGTCTGAAAGCGCTCAATCTCTTGTACATTTTGATGTACAACACTTGTGTATTTGCTTCACTATGGAGCTTACACACTAGCAAAAAAGATTGCCCCTGCTACATGAGTGCAAGTTGAGCTCGAAACCGAATGCTTCTGCATCTGCTCGTAGAATCAATGAAGCCTGGGATGAAGGCACGGTTGCAGAGAGACTGTTCGAGAGCGTTTGTTGATTACGCATTTATTGTTTTTTTGGTTTGTTAATAAACTTATGAGTGAAATGAAAACGGCGGATAATTATTGCTTAACTTAATGCTTCCATTTGTACTTCGTAGTGGCGTCAGTTATTTCCGAAAGGGTGAAAGTCTAGGTGGGCTGGACGACGCACGACCCAGGATACGATCCCCGAGCAGCGCGCATGGTAAGCAGCGCCACTTGCCACTCCACCGCTTCCACTCTGAAGGTAGAGAGACTCGATCTGTGAAGTGGTCTGTTTTAAGATAAAGACCAAGATGACGTCAGCATAAAAGGAATGAGCGTCGCTGGCTATTGGAGGGCTGGGCTTTCTTTGTTTTGAAGGCGGGTGGTACCAACAAGTTTTAGCCAATTATAGCTGAAAGAAGAGAATAGTGCACTGTTCAAAAAAATCAGAGAGGAATTGACTTAAAACCCGAGGTGTGGGACCGCGTTTCGCTGGGGAATTTTCGCTGGACGAGTTAGCGGAAATCGAAGTCGGTTGCACGTATCATCTGTTGTAGTTCTTGAACATTGTACTAACAAGGGAGGTCTTTCAGGGCAAGCCACGCTTTTTCAAAACGGTTTTTTGCATATTGTAGGGACGCATGTAGGGAACACAAAACCATGTTTCATTTTCGCTGAACGGTTATAGCAGTACCAAAAAAAGTACTGTTAATGGTTCGATCCCCCGTGGCGACTAAATTTTGCATTTGGGTTGGCGCCTACATTGGTGCCAAATCGCGCTAAATGTCAAAATCAGATGTCATATTCATCGTCAGGACCATTTTGAAGCCAACAAGTGGCCGCCAACCTTGATTGCAAAATTTAGTCGCCGCGGGGATCGAACCATCAAGGGTATATTCACCACTTTTTTGGTACTACTAAAACCGTTCAGCGAAAACGAAACATGGTTTTGTGGTCCATACATGCGTCCCTACAATATGCAAGAAACCGTTTTGAAAAAGCGTGGCTTGCCCTGAAACACCTCCCTTGTTAGTACAATGTTCAAGAACTACAACAGATGATACGTGCAACCGACTTCGATTTCCGCT